TTGATATATGTTGCACTTTATGCATTTTGAGGTTGATTATCTCATTTGCCCTTGTTTCAAGGCAAACTTTCAGAAGTCAAACAATGAAATATAGTTCCAATGGTTGCACTGGGAAAGATGCTGCAAAAGGGATGAGTAAATTTGGGCTTGGGCATGATGTTAAGGTAAGACTTATAAGTCCGTACTTCGATCAGTGTTGACGGAATTACCACATCTCAGATTTGTTATTTTCCAACCAATTTTTATGGAGATGTTGCCTATATGACAAGGAACCTTTTTAGTCAATTTTTGCATCATTACTTTAATTTGGTTGACAAATGCCGCCCTTTGTGATTCTTCAGCAAAAATACGTACCGTAGTACATTTCATCACAGCCAGAAGACTAGTTGTTCCCTCTTCTAACTTGCTCTCATTTATATACTGCCCTGCCCCTTCCACTTTCAGCAGATTGGCTTTGATTTTAAGTGATAATTCACCAGATACGTCCAGTAAGTCATTGACGTCTTTGCTGCTTTTAACCACTTGGTATTTGAAGGAAAACTTGTTGAAATTCATAGGCTTAATTGGTAAGTCACTGCTCGATGGGAAGACATCCGCGCATGCTCTCGAAGTTTCCAAGTCAAATGTCCGACCAAGACACAAAGTGGGTGATGTATAAGCTGGGACGTTCATTTTCTCTTAAAGATAAGAAATGACAGAAATCAGGAAATGTAAAAAACCTTTTTTGGTTTGATGAACACACCTCTGCTACATATGTATCACGAACATTGCTTCTCTAATGAAAGAAACCCTACAAAGGGGTTACAAATATCCACCAAAGAATTTTAACTCTTTTATTTCAAAAATTCCGTTTTTCGTGTACGTTTTGAAGTATTTTTCGAGCCACCCCCTAAGTCTAAGTCCGATTTTATACACCACCATAAACTTGACGTAGAACAGTCAGTTAAAACACAAAGAGGTAAGAAAGCCTGAACAAACCCTATGGCTTATATCAGGAGGTGCCCTCAATAACTCGTATAAATCAGCAATAACTAATGAATATCAAGTGCCGTGACTGATTCTGATTGTTCATTCAAGTTTGAATTGTTCGTTGGTTGATTATTTTTAAAAATGTTTCAAATTCAACTCAAAGAATTTGGAAGCGTGCTTATGGTTAAATTATATGCTCACAAATCAAATCCTGCACTGAAATCAACGGACATCGGCAAAATTGATAGATCACTAAATCGCTCCGATTTAGTCTACGAAATTCCATAAGGTCACATTATTTGGCTGTAATTTCTGGCATTAAAATTGAAAAAGAAAAAAAGACATCAACTTAATCCACTAATGACTGCGCGCCAAAACACACCAATAACAGAAAACCCACGCACTATAAATAGCGACATATAACCTTTCGACCTCGTCACCTGAGGAACTTTTAAATGATAGCAGTCGCAACGTCAACACAGTTGATGCTTGACTCTACATCGTGAGACAAACGATTTTAAAATGTCCATTTATTTGATGGAACCA